GAGTCCGCTTACTACCCCTTAACCCTATCAGATTATATTCTAGGTTAGGTTTGAAATAAAAAGTTTTTTTCATCTCTGGCATTGATATAAATGTCACTGAGGTGGACGAAACAAGGTTCTGAGATATTCTTTTACAATACTGCACAGATCGCCTTAAATCTCTTCTTGATTTTTACAAAGAAATGGTATTTTTATTCGTTCCCAGTAGTATGCGCTGCTTTTTCTCACTATGTGCTTTGCGGTGAAGCAGTATGACTGTTGAGTGCTCATTTGTGACAAGTCAACTCATGCAAACAAGTCGCCACTCTCATACTTCTGATGTCTCCTTGGGTTGGCTTTGTAATACAATTTTCCTATCACGTGTCTTTTTATTTCCTCTAATAATCTTTGCCTTAAAAGTGCCGGAAATTCGCGGAATTTCACACAGTCTCTTCGCTCAGCATTCACTCATGCTATTTTTGCTGTGCATAAGCTTTTGTAGTTTGGTTAAACGTGACTCTGTTCGGACATATGAATGCAACCTTGATGCTATATGAATGGCATGTCAGTTGCACACCTTCTATATGGGTTTGAGCTTTCGCAGTTTACATTAGCACAGAGTTCTAGGAAGAATCTCATGCACTTACCAGCATTTCTTTCTTTTGTACAGAAGTGTTTCCATTTGAGTTAAGAGAGATGGTACCAGCGGAATTTTCATATAAGAGGCACCTTACTGCAGGAAATATCTGCGGAATTCGTGTCATTCTAAAACATTTTCTAAAGTGCTGAACAGTCTGAAAGCGCCTAAATGCAACTCTAGGAAACGAACAACAATAATTTTCCGTCATCTGGTGCTTGCTAGCTTGCAATAATATTTCACAAAACATAGTACCAGATTGCACGGCTGTGAATTCAGTTATACTATACTTTCCTGCTTTATCGTGATACTTCTAATGCCACCTCAGTTCTCACAAACTAATGCTAATGCATTAAATAGTTGATCTGCAGAGTTGGTCAGTTCAGAAGAAGTATTGCTAGACTGCTGTTTTATTCAGCTGCTGCAGATTTTTGGTGATGTTTAGCTTCATTTTACATTAATTTGTAGTTAATGCACTGAACAATCCTGGTTAGGCGTGCCATAATGCACAGCTCAAACTGGAGCAGGCCTAGCATGTCTGATTCCAAGTTTTATGGTGTGTTTTGGCCATTGATCGAATAAAATACCTGTTTCTTAACTTTGTGCACCACATTGAAGCTTTTCAGTGAGTAAACCAAGCAGTGCTGTCAACTTCTACATTCCAGCCGGCAGCACTCAAATGTAATAGCATGCGCACCCTTCGTGTCAAAACACCATGAAGGAGACAGAATGCCACTTGAGTGACCTATATAATTTCCTGATTTACTATGATATTTATTGGAAATGCCACTGAGTAAGGACAGAGTGGGGTGATGAAAATAGAGAAATGTTGCCTGTAATGTAATATATTTTGAGACGATTTGCCTTGTGTCACCTGTGTCCACCAACTCAATTGGTATGCTTCATCTTATATCCATATTTTTGCTCTTCGAAAATTGCATTAATGCTTGCTCGTTATATTTGCAGGCTTTTCTATGCACCACTTCGAGGCGGAAAAGTGTGCCTCTGCAGGACCTCCAGGAGAGACACAAGTCCCTGCAACACTTCCTTGCACAGAATTGTGCCAGCCAGCACTGTTAATCCAGCTAGGGTTTTACATGTATTTTGAATGGTGTTATTTTTATAATGTTATGGAAACACAATTTTTTATAAAAATTGAGTTTGTTGCAGTCAACTTCACTTGTAGAGTTTTATGCAAACGCCGATGACTGCACTTTAAATATCATCTCACTGAATTCACACTGCATAGACCTATGTACTAGTGTAACCTGCAATATTATTCTTTTCATTTGTTTTTGCTGCTATGTGCAAATACAGTGCAAGTTCCATACGGGCGACAATAGAACACACTGCAGACAATAGACTATATGGTCGAAAGTGGAACATACTGCAGACAATAGGCTATACAATTACACAATAGTCTATATTACAGACAATACTATACAATTCACAATAGACTATACGAACGGCAACAGACAAGACAGACAATAGACAACAGTGGACAAACAGTGCGACAGACAACAGCGCCCCAAAATACGAGACATAACAGAATTTCTGTTGTAGTATCCTGTTGTCATTTTCGACTGGGTGGCTTTCCACTTTCGTTTCGCTAGCACTGGGGCACCAGATCATGATGTCATAGGCGTAGGTGGTGTGGTTGATACGCTCAATTATGGCCAACCTCTTTGAGAGTCCAATCATGCAGATGTTGAGGTGAATGGGTGATATGACAGAGCCTTGTGGCATACCCCGTGGCCCCGCGAGTACTTCGTCAAACACAAAGTCGCCAAACCGCAGCTTCGCCTTCCTACCAGTAGGAACAAACGAACATAGTTACACAGCCTGGGGCCCAGCTCGATGTAGGCGACACAAACTAGGATGTATTGGTGAAGAGCATTATCAAACGCCATCTCGATGTCTAGTCCGAGCAACGGCATGGTGTCTATGCTATTGGTGTGGATGATCTGATGTTTGACAATCGTCATGGCGTCCTGCATCGACAGACCGGCTTAGAAGTTTTTAATCTTGTGGGCATAAACGTTGTTCTCTTTGAGGTATATGTTTACTCTGCTTACATTGACAAGCTCTGCCACTTTTTCGATGCAGGACGTGAGAAATATGGGTCTGAAGTAATCAACACCGGGAGCCGTGCCTGATTTGGGTATTAGGATGGCATTAGCAGTCTTTCATTGTTCTGGGACGCTCCCGTTTTTCTACATCTCGTAGATCGTCTCGGTAAGGTATTTGATTTACGGTTGTCGAGATTCTGCCGCATTTTACTTGTGATGCCATCGGGGCTGGCGCCGACGTGCAGTTGAGTGTGCAATTGGCTTGCCTTACCTCTGGCATGCGAAGTGTTCGTCTAACTCTGGACGGGTTGTACCGTGGTAGTCGAGAAACTGGACGTCCTCGTCTCCCAATTTCAAAGGCAGGTGCTTCTGCATAAGCTTGACAATGAACTGGTTCCCGGTGCAGCATCTTGTAGCATCGTGAAGGGCCCTGGCGAGCATGTGTCCCTGATTGGGTCTTGTGCCGCCCTCGTCGAGCAAATGTTTCAGCAATCCCTATGATGTACCGTTGCGTATATTCCTCTCGATTGAGTCGCCAACTTAGTTCCATTGCTGTTTGCAGAGGATACGACAGTCATCTATGGTCTTATTGAGCTCTCGGATATTTTTCCTCAATCTTTGATTGAATCTTTGTCCCTTCAATTGAAGGAACAACGCCTACTTCACCTCATTTAGGTGGGCTAACCTGCTGTCCATTGTGTCTACTTGTAGGCCTGTGACGATATTCTTGGTGGACGACATCGCGTCTCTCTTGATTGCTTTGCACCAGTCATCCAAACCACTGGGAGTGAGTGCAAACTCGCTGTTGCGGAGATTACAAAGGTGCTTCGAATCTGTGACAGTGAAAACTCCGGTTTCGCTCCAGGCGATACCAAAGCGACTCTCGAGCCCATAATCATCCCTACCAAAATCTATTGCTAAATTGTTCCTCTTCACTCTCTCAACAATATTCACAAACGATAGATTGGGGGTGGTATTCCGGGTCACCTAGTTGCTGATTCGTGTCGGGAACACCTTGTTCGTGATGAGAGTAAGGTTAATTTTGTTGCGGTCGTTTTTTGGGGTCCGGTTTCACTGTAGCCACAAATCTTGCCGGCCCAGGTAATCAATGGCTTCCTTTTCTTGGCTGGCCGTTAATGAAAGCGGACCCAGTTCAGGAGGCACAACGGCTCCTGAAATGGCTTCAAGAATCGCTACCCAATTCATATCTGCTTCTGGACTTGGATCTCCTTGTGGACCTAGAACGCCTTCCGGAAGACCCGGAGGTCTCTCACGAAGAGGGGATCCTAGACTTGAGCATCCGCAGGCTCTGGAGTCAGCAGCTTGGGCCAGGAAGTAGCGGTCATCCTCGGCGAAGGCAGGAGACTTGCTTCTATTTTCATGGGATAGCTCTGCGCGCCTACGTCTCACGAGGTACAGCATCTGTTAGCTCTCCTTGCACTCCTTGGCACCGACAAGGTGCCAGCCACAACACAGCTTGTACTTGGGGTCACACTTGTGGCTCTTATCTGGATTGGCGACGTCACATTTCCTGCATACGATGTCGTCTGGACTGGAGCGCACGTCTGCTCGATACACAAGACGGTCACAGGCGTAGCACACCTCTACTTCATTTCGATACAAGGACACCAGACGAGCATACCGCCGTTAAAGAAGTAGTTTGGCACCTTGTAGGCGTCGAACACCTCAATCACGGTTCTCGTGTTCTTGAGTCCTTTGGCTCTCAGTGCCAGCGGGTTCTTCGAGTTACTATCTAGCGATCGAGATCTGCTGGGCTCTCACTTGGTGCAGTGCAACTGATGACATCCTTGCACGTAGAATGGGGAGCCACGTCATACGAGTAGACTTTGCACGGCAGACCACGAACAACAACGCATTAGACTTTGGCATAGCGAATCATGTTCTCCCTGATGGGGGTACTCACAACCATGATGTTTTGTTGAAAATTCTTCCACATTGTGTCTGAGTCTCGCAACACCGATTCGACGCCAGCCGCTCTCCATATGGCCTAAGCCACAACAATTGGGCCTACTTTGCTGATGTTAACACCTCGTCTCATCTTGGCCATGATCTTCGCTTCGTTTTTTTGCAGTGAAGACAGCCTTCTGCTACGAATAATATGGGTTTTAGCTCTCCTGCGGTCTCGACGACCCGGGGCGGCCACATCGTCATTCGGGTGAGCGCCGGCAGAAATACCTCCAACCTGCTTGAGAGACGCCAATTTGTCTCTCCGGGAGTCAGAAGCTCCTCGCAAGCGGAGCTTCTGACTCCCGCAATTTACGCAAGCGGGAGCCGTTCTTGACACATACGAAATCATGCGACGCTCCTCCTACGTGAGTGCTCGGTCAGCGGAGAAGCGAGAATTTTCCCTCGCGTTTAAACGCACCTTAAGGCTCTTTATATTAATCTAGCGGCGGGAGGGAGAGACGCCACAGTTGGCACCGTGCCCGAGAACCGACACCATGCAGTCATCGTTCCACGGGCAACCCGCACAAATGCAACACACGTGCCGTCACATCTGGAACACCGAAGTGGGGGGGGGGGCAAATGAGCCAATCAGCGACGCTCTATCGCTCTTTCACCCTCCGCTTGGGTGTGCCAGGGGTCCCGGCATGTGCGTTGGGGCTGTGCGGGTAGTGCGTGAAAAGCCATAAAGACTTCTGCCTTAACATTCGACTCTTGCACTTTGCAGAAGAAGTTGAATTTAAATGAATCACACAACCACCGCACATCGCACGCGATCAAAAAACCATCAGTCAGCCTGCTTTACTAGGAAGACACATTGTTTCTCATGGCCCCACCGCGGTGATCTAGTGGCTAAGCTACTCGGCTATTAACCCGCAGGTCGTGGGATAGAAAGCTGGCTGCGGCGGCTGCATTTTCGATGGAGGCGAAAGTAACGTAGGCCCGTGTGCCCAGATTTGGGTGCATGTTAAAATCCCCGGGTGGTCAAATTTACTGGAGCCCTGCACTACGGCGTCTCTCATAATCGTATGGTGGTTTTGGGACGTTAAAACCTATATATCAATCAATCGTTTTTCACGCGGCTTGTCATCACTCGAATTTCGTAAAAAGGACGTCAAAGGTGACGCCGCACATTGACCACCCTTCTGCCGTACACAGTGTGTTCTGTGTCGAATCCTCCGGCATTGTGGTCTGAAAGTTTGGTGTTGCCTCTCTGGAACTACTTGTGGTATTTTCGCAATCTAAACACTACGCTCGCTATAAATTGTGCTTTACAACAACCTCGCCTTATAAACGACCACCCTAAAGTAGATGGTAAAAAGCTACTTTTTATTGATGAATATTACACAGTGATCTATTTAGTCACTTCGTAATTGCACTTAAATATCATTGCGCCTTGGCCAGGAACGATTAGTGGTTCACCATGATAGTTCTTAGTTTTTGAAGTAAAATATGTGTTGCTTAGAAGAATACATCCTATATATATATATATATATATATATATATATATATATATATATATATATATATATGTATATATATACACTTCTGCCAATATATATATATATATATATATATATATATATATATATATATATATACATATATATATTTATAAAATAAGGTAATATAAGGGCTCGTTTTTTCCGTGTTTTAACACAATAATAATGACATCTAACAGACAGTAATGCCAAGGAATGTACAGCGGAAGTTATTAGAACCAATGAAATGTAAATAAGAAGAAAAACGAAAGAAAAGTGGATGAAAAAATAACCAGCCGTGAGCAGGAATCGAACCTACGACCTTCCAATAACGCATTATATATATACATATATATATATATATATATATATATAACTCATCCCCTGATGAAGACCCTTCCCGAAACTGTTGGGAAATAAATATATTTATCCTTGTTGACAACACTCCCGTTGTGCCATATCCCGTACCTATATATATATATATATATATATATATATATATATATATATATATATATATATATTTATATGTATATATATATATATATATATATATATATATATATTTATATGTATATATATATATATATAAGGAAAGAAGTGTATACCTAAGGGCTCGTTTTTCCGTGTTTTTACACAATAATAATGAGATGTAACAGACAATAATGCCAATGAAATTATAGGGGAAGATATTAGACAAATTGTAATGTAAATATGAAGAAAAGTGGGTGAAAAGATCACTTTCTGTGGGCAGGATCCGAACCTGCGACCTTCGAATGACGCGTGCGATGCTCTACCACTGAGCTACCACGACAGCTATCCCCCCAGCCACTTTATATGGTTTATATGTAAATTAAACGTGGGAGTGTCAGTCAGCGCCACCAGTAGCCATGGCGGCAAGTGTGGCACACTCTTTTGAGCCTGTTTGGCGGCACGTAGCACGTGAACTTTTTACGAGTGGGCAGCTGACCAACAGTCTTTCGTATACAACCTAAATGCACTGACCCCCGTATTCGCAAACGCTCCATCACTCAAGGGCTCTCCTCGACACGAAAAAGTCGATGGGAGCGCCGTCTCTTGGCGAACCAAGTCACTGCATATTGGCAATATTCTGCAGCGATTCTTGAAAAGCGCAGCGTCAATTTCAGTCGAGCAGCGGCGCAGTGCTCAGCTCGGTCAAGTGAAAGATGGAATTCGAGTCGAGGAGCGTTTCTGAATACGGGGGTAAGTCTGCCAGTACGAGACACTCGTTAATGAATAAGGAAAGAAGTGTATACCTAAGGGCTTAGTTTTTTCGTGTTTTTACATAATAATAAGGAGGTCTAACAGACAATAATGCCGAGGGAAGTATAGGGAAATATATTAGACTAAATTATAATGTAAATATGAAGAAAAGTGGGTGAAAAGATAACTTGCCGTGAGCAGGATCCGAACCTGCGACCTTCGAATGACGCGTTCGATGCTCTACCACTGAGCTACCACGACAGCTATCCCCCAGCCACTTTATATGGTTTATATGTGAATTAAACGTGGGAGTGTCAGTCAGCGCCACCAGTAGCCATGGCGGCGAGTGTGGCACACTCTTTTGAGCCTGTTTGGCGTCACGTAGCACGTGAACTTGTTATGAGTGGGCAGCTGACCAATAGTCCCTCGTATACAACCTAAAGGGACTAAGTCTGCCAGTACGAGACCCTCGTTAATGAATAAGGAAAGAAGTGTATACCTAAGGGCTCGTTTTTCCGTGTTTTTACACAATATTAATGAGATCTAACAGACAATAATGCCAAGGAAAGTATAGGGGAAGATATTAGACCAAAGTGTAATGTAAATATGAAGAAAAGTGGGTGAAAAAATAACTTGCTGTGGGCAGGATCCGAACCTGCGACTTTCAAATGGCGTTCGATGCTCTACCACTGATATATATATATATATATATATATATATATATATATATATATATATCGTTGAACCCTATGTCTAGGCAGATGGCACTTGGTGTCCTCGCACCATATCATCGTACAAATTGTTGTATATCTTTTACGCAGGTTGTAAAGATGCTGGCGACAGTGGTGCTGATGTTCGCTGTGTGCTGGCTGCCGATTCATCTGATGAACCTGATATTGTACTTCGACCGCGCCGCCATGCAGCCGGACACTGCCGAGCAGGAGTACCTATACATCGCGGCTTTCTTCTCCTGCCACTGGTTCTCAATGGCCAACAGCTTCGTCAATCCCATCATCTACTGCTTCATGAGCGACAACTTCAGGGTTGGTGTTTGTTGATGTTTAGTAAAGCACCGCCATAACCAGGTCTCCCAACAGAAGACAAAAGAGCGCGCTGTAATCTCCATTTTTTTTGGAAAGTCAGTCTCGCAATGCTCAAATGAGAGAGCAGTATGTCGTCGTTATACGAGATGAAAATATATGTCGAAGCCGCCAAGCTCTTTAAAATTATAGTCAAACACAAAACACTGACAAAAACAGTTAAACCTTACTGGCTCTCCTATGCACTCACCTCAGGCAACTCGTAGAGAAAACAATTTTTTTTCCTTGAATTTAATACATGGAAACGCCCTCTTTCGAAGGCTTCCCGCCCTTTACCTGCTTTTTTTTTTTGCACTACCTCCAAGACAGGGTGCAATGCAAGGTTTCTACACTTGGAATTACTGCATATGCCTCCTATAGTAAGATAGCTGTGAACATGTATGTCATTATTTTGAACGGCTGTGCAGTAAAGCCACTCGTTGCGCAGGCAGTAGAGAAATACGGCGCGATATTCCGGCACAGCCGACATGCCTCAGACTTATTCGCCGGCGCAGAGTGAAAGTGCTCTTTCACCATAAGCCGTATATTGCTATAGGTCCTAGATAATCGCATCCGCCTACAAAATAACGCGTACAACAGCAATAGGAGAGTGTTTTGCAGTTCTCGGGGGAAGTACAGGCCGCTGCTTATATGCGCAAAATAAAGTGAATCAAGTGAACCAAGCGAGACCTTAAGGGCATCAAATGCTTTTTAGGTAGACTAAAGGTGACGGAAATATTTCAAAATGAATAAATTTTTCAAATATTAGACTGGTTCAGATGTCCTCTAAGTGAACTGATGGTGTAGTGCACTGAAGGAACTGTATGATCCCGCGGTGGTGGTCTAGTGGCTAAGGTACTCGGCTGCTGACCCACAGGTCGCGGGTGCGAATCCCGGCTGCGGGGACTGCATTTCCGATGGAGGCGGAACCGTAGGCCTGTGTACTCAGATTTGGGTGCACGTTAAAGAACCCCAGACGGTCGAAATTTCTGGAGCCCTCCTCTACGACGTCTCTCTTAACCATTTAGTGGTTTTGGGACGATAAACCTCACATATCAATCAGGGAACTGTATGTGGCAAGGCTCGTAGCAAAAGTGCGTGTGTCATATACCGTGTTCAAAGAATAATACAGCGGAAGCCGATCCCACCACCACTGATTTCTCAAAATTCCGCTTTCTACCTTGCAAAGAAAAATGATGCGATTTTTTTCCCGCATTCTTACAGCCTCTTTTAGCCTGACCGAAAGGAGCAAACATTTTGTCCTCAAAGATGCTTGAAAGAAACTTCACACACGTAAGGTCCACAGTTACGTGGGTTAATTTTGGGCGTCTAAGCCAACTAGCCAGAGATAGTCGCCAGAAGATCTCTGCCCGTACGGTCACACAAGCGAGCACTGACAAATAGCTCTCACTGAGCATCAATCACAGCCGCTTCACTGTTTGAAAAAGCAATGACAATGCAAAACACTGAAACAAGTTGCCGTTGGTGCCGCACCATCACCTACGTAACGTTGGCTTTTCCGGGACAAAACTGAACGTTTGATGTCATGTTTCCCCACTTGATGGCACTCGCCGATTAGCAGCGCGAGCGGCACCAGGAAAAGTTAGGCGCAACTTTGCTGTTCAGGGAACCTATGTGCACATTACATGGTATTTGCACTGCCTCCATGATTAGCTCGCATTGACAAGGAGGCGGTGTCGTGTGGTGAAGCCATCATGTGACGTAATGACATGGTACGTCTAAACTTCAGGAACGCGTCATAAAGTTTGGTGATCTATATTGTCATTGCGAGATATTTTTCGCATCGCTCTTGTAGATGCTCAGAGTCAACTTTCACTTTTCATGAGGTATCTGGGGTTATCTTCTTGGTGTAGCCTTAATTCTGCCCAGAAATGAAAGTTATTTAGGTCCTCCAAAGCTCAGTTAATTCTCCAAAGACAATAGTCACCAGCAAACTAGCGTTGAAACCAGCTTGAAAGCCTTGAGTGATTTATTGATATGTTGGGTTTAACGTCCCAAACCCACCATATGATTATGAGAGACGCTGTAGTGGAGGGCTCCGGAAATTTCGACCTCCTGGGGTTCTTTAAGGTGCACCCAAACCTGACAACACGGGCCTACAACATTTTCGCCTTCATCGGAAATGCAGCCGCCGCAGCAGGGATTTGATGCCGCGACCTGCGGGTCAGTAGCCGAGTACCTTAGCCCCTAGACCACCGTGGCGGGGTGGCTTGAAGGACTCGAGATTGATGAGCGTGCCTTTGTCCACTGTGACGAAAATTCCTAGAGTGCACAGAAATATGTTTGTTATAAAAGTACCGAGCATACTTAAGCATAATTTGTTCAGTTTGCGAGAAAGCTTTCTGTTACTCTGTGTAGGATAGGTTGATGTACGTTTTGAATATTTAGTGCTAAATCTATAAGACTTTTAGCTAACCAAAATACACCTCAGTGCATTCGTCGATATGCAGCTCGGTGCGTATAATATTTTTACTTTGTGAATAGTCATATTTGTGTTCAGAATGTTTTGCGATAACTTTGTAAAACCGGTATCCTAATGTAAACATGCATACGGCGTTCAGAAACAAGTGACATGACGCCAAAGACACGGTTGTTCTAAAATTTCTATCTGTTAGTACATCACACAAAAATACTATCAACTGCCACTCATTAGCCGCTTGATAATATTACAGTGTTAGCCAATACATTAACAAGCCATAATAACAAAATAGTTGTATATATTCAAGTGGCATATTGACAACAAATGTCTTCATTATCAATTTTAATCCAGCTTGCTGAATTAGTTAGTCGTTTTTTAATTTCTGAGCTGCGCAGTTCCGAACCCTCTAGTTAAATGTTCTCAAACTTATTGACACCCTAGAAAAGTCCTCTAAAAGATCAGGGGCCGAATTCACAAAGCTTTCTCGTGGCTGCGCACTCTCTTAGCCATTAATTCGCTTATCTACAGCCCTATTGAATAAAACGTCCACAATAGGAACGGTGGATTCCACCATCCACCATTTTGGTGGATTATGACGGTGGAAATGTTGGTGGCACATGGTGTATGCTGGCTATGGTGGAGCGGATGGTGGATTGCGCGCTCCAGCTGGCAATGTTGGAGCACGAAGCTGCGTCAGGAGCAGCGTGACAAGCTGCCACTAAAAATAATAAAAATATTTGTATAAAAAGCGATGTAGAAAGCACCCGCTTTGGTAATCGGGAAGTCACTGTTTAACTTCAGTTCTGTTTGTTGTTTACTCGGGATGAACGGGATCTGCATCTGCTAAACTTTGCACATTTGATAAACACGAACAACTGCTGCCTGTAAAAATTACCACTGCGATAATGGCAACAGCGCTATGTTTTTGTTACAATTTACAACCGCAAGGGAAAAAAACAACTCAGTGGACTAAGGAGCAAGTAGAGTTTATCGGCGGTTACTGCCAAGTTATTAATTTGTTTCTCGCTCCTTCCAAAGAGCGATATTAGTTCAGGCTTTAGTTGTAGGCCCGTGTGCTCAGATTTGGGTGCACGTTAAAGAACCCCAGGTGGTCTAAATTTCCGGAGCCCTCCACTACGGCGTCTCACATAATCATATAGTGGTTTTGGGGTTTTTGGGACGTTAAACCCCACATATCAATCAATCAATCAATCATAGTTCAGGCTTTATGACGCTTCTATTCTCATTCGATAGATACGCCCACACATTTGATTTTGATGTTTTTCGCGCAACGCAAAGCGCAGTCGTGCAAGCGCACCGCTGTTGCGCTATCGTTAGAAACAACTACATAACGGCTTGGCCAAAACGAATGCAGCGCGCCAGAAACATTATGGTATCGTATTGGTTCACTATGCATACAAATTGACGTTTCTATGTTCTCGCATAAGAGCCAGTGAAGTGCCGGCGAGTGCGACCAGTGGCTGTCAGTGAGGGGAGGCGCACCTTTGGTGGAAGTGCTGCAAGCGCGTCGCATCGATGTTTGTCGCTTCTTGCGCGGACAGCGTCCACAATAAAGAAAGGCTTCATTTAGGTTAAATTATGCCACAGCTGTGCTGTATTGTCATTTTTACTCGTCAAAATTGTGTACTCTGAAACCCAGAAGCGCCGATAACACTTGTACGGGCTCGGTCGGTATGACTAAGCTTTGGTGAAAATCATGGTGGTAGAACAGAGGGGTAAAAATCAAATTCGCTGGGGCTAATGTTGACGCATGTTGAAAGTGAAAGTATGCATATTCGTACGCACTTTGTTAACTTAAAGGTACAGCTCAAACAATAGAGTGTGCAAGAATTACCAGAGTTGCGTTTCTAGCGTGGCAACATCGAGTGACCGCTGTGTTCTGCTCCGACATTGAAAGGGGCGATTGCGAACTGGAGTCCATTTATTGGTCAACAACTACGCTGCTATGTAAAACATTTATTGTCACGTTCACAGTGACAATGTTAGTCTTCTAAACATCACAACAAAGAAACCCATCGCGGATGTCGAACTGATATAAATGCGTGCGCGAAATGTAAACATATTCCCGGCTGCATGTTCTATGCTCCACAAAAATTGCTGCGTTGTTGACACCACAGGTGTAAAAAAACGTACTAGAAAGCATAGTGAGCCGAGTTGGTTTATTTTCATCGTAAACATATATCTCTGCGCATTAAAAAGTGAAACACTACGAATAAGTGCTTTCACATACGGACGTGTGCTTTTCATCATGCCACCATCATCCACCAAGCTTCCATCATGCCACCGTCATCCACCTTGCTCAGCAAGCCTTCCACCAAAGACATTTTGCCTCGCCACCAAGAGCCGGCATTTTTCACCATCACCACCATTGGCTCGCCCCTACCACCACCATCTGCCATCATTTTTTTTCACTTTGGCCGTCATCAGCCATTATGCCAACTACAGTTTCCACCATATCCACTAAAATTTCCACCATATCCACTATTCTTTCCGCCATATTCAC